GGTCTGTATGTGGGATCCGAACCCTCGGTGGGAGCGCCGCCGCACTCCCAAGCAGCGCACTATAGCAGTGCGCCACCGGGCCGGCCCCTACCTCTGCTTTTGTTAATACTGTTCAAATCCTACCCATTGTCCTGGTTCTGTTTCAGATGCCACCTGTGCCATGAAGCCTTGCCTGACCTTTCCAATCAATAGGGACCTGTCCTATTCACACACTTCCTTTATTCTCTCCTGCCCTCCCTGCATACTCACAGGACAGGGACCCCTTTACTCACCTTTATATCTGCTAGGAGTGAAAGAGTTACGTGTAAAAAGCTGTTTTACATGTTGCTTTTCTTGAATCTTGTGCTCGAACCATCCCAGGTAGATTGTAGCCTATTTTAAAGTGCATGTTTTCATTGTTTTTCAAGCTTGATTCCATAGTCACTAAGAACATTTTATTACAGATTGTTGAAAACTGGTTGACAATTTATTTGAAAATATGTTTTTTTTTAACAAAACAAACCAAAACATAAAGTTTTATTTAAAATTCGAAGGCTTGGGCAAGAAACAAAAAAGAGTCTCTCAGAGGAGGTAGATGTACTTTAGTGTTATAGAATCTTCATTTTGAAATCATTTTACTTATGAGCTGGCGACTTGTTCTGACTTAATTTTTTTTTCTTCCACTTAGCATGGAGGATGAAAAGGAAGCTAGTAAAGTTATACCCACAGAATGTGCCATCAAGGTATTTAAAACAACCCTTAACGAGTTTAAGAATCGTGACAAATATATTAAAGATGATTTCAGGTTTAAAGATCGCTTCAGTAAACTAAATCCACGTAAGATCATCCGCATGTGGGCAGAAAAAGAAATGCACAATCTCACAAGGTAAAGAAAATCATTGTGCTAGAAGTAATCTTGAGTAATTACCTTTTTGTATTAGGACCAAAAAAAAAATTCATGCTTGCTTTTAAATTCATTTATAGAAATAATGAAAGGCTATATACATAACTGGAACTCAGTGTTTTAGGATGAAAAAGCCATTTTTTTCCTTTCCTCAGTGAAGTTTGAGGGAAACTAAGGCATTTTCTGCCTAAGACGTTCTGTCATATATCTGAATGCTATCTTTTAAAATGTCTTTCTCAAGAAATAAGACTTCCAGCTTCCTACTAGGCTTAATATAAATAATGATTTGTGGTCCGGCCCATGGCTCACTTGGGAGAGTGTGGTGCTGATAACACCAAGGCCACGGGTTCGGATCCCTATATAGGGATGGCCGGTTAGCTTACTTGGGAGAACGTGGTGCCGACAACACCAAATCAAGGGTTAAGATCCCCTTACTGGTCATCCAGGACAGGAGGATAAGAGGGTGGCTGAGGACACACCATCCTCCTATCTTCCTTTCTTGGGTACTGAAGCTGTCTGTCAAGTTTCCAAAGAGGAACCTATATAAAAAAGATATTTTTGGACTGGCCAGTTAGCTCAGTGGGTAAGAGCACAAAGGTCATGGGTTCAGATCCCCATACCAGCCAGCCGTCAAAAGAGAAAAGACAAATTTTTTTTTTGTTTTGTTTCAGAATATGTTGTTTATTACATCTAATTTGTTAATTTGGTAGGGGTAGGGCCTTCCCAGTCAAATTTCATTTTGCTTTAATTTATTAGTCTTTTTTCTCAATTCATTAAGCAGTTCTTTTTCTATCAAGGAATTTGTTTTATCAACCAAGAAATTGAGTAATAACACTTCCCATTAATCTTCCCATTATCTTAACCAGTTGAAAGCTTAATTTTAGTTTATTATTTTCTAAAGATGTTTGCTTTCAAAAGTAATTATCCATATTTATTAGTTGCAAAATTCTTCTACTTAGAAATTCCAAGTAGAATAATTTCCTAAGAGGTCTTGCTTCATTCCAATCTCTTTTCTATACCACTGAGATCTCGTCCCCGCCTTTCTTAAAATTCTTCAACAGCTTTCCATAGTCTGAAGTAAAAAGTTCAAACACCTTTTGTGGTATGGAGCTTGCCTGTCTCTGTAGCCTCAACCCACATTGCCTTCTGCCTACTCACAGATCCAGCTGTGTTGCTTGAGCTGCATTCCCCAAATGCACCGTGCTATTGGATGCCTCTGTGTGTTTCCTTGCACTGTTTTACTTGGCTAATTCCTGTTCCCCACCTTCTAACAAGCCTTCCATGGTGCTGTGTGCTCCCATAGTTCCTACCCACACCCCTGCCAATGTGTGTACTGTGTTGCACTGTACTTGTCTCCTCACTTGTCATTTCCACCAGTCCACGGCCCCTAACAGGCAGAGGCTATATCTTACTGTCTGTATTCCACATCGTCAGGGAGAACAAAGTGCCAGCTCATTGCAGGCCCTGGTTAGATATTTATTGAATAATGATGTATTTTCTCCTTCTGATCTTCACGTTCTCATTCATTTCTTTATAGAATGCAGAGAGCTGGAATTCCTTGTCCAACAGTTGTACTGCTCAAGAAACACATTTTAGTTATGTCTTTTATTGGCCATGATCAAGTCCCAGCCCCTAAATTAAAGGAAGTAAAACTCAGTAGTGAAGAAATGAAAGAAGCCTACTATCAAACTCTTCATGTAAGTTGTGCCTTTAAAAGCATTCACACAGCTTTTGAAAATATCTCTCTAAACTTTAAAAAATTTTCCTCAAATAGTACTATTTCTTTTTCTTTTTCTTTTTTTTTTAAAGATGACTGGTAAGGGGATCTTAACCCTTGACTGGTGTTGTCAGCACCACGCTCACCCAGTAAGCTAACCGGCCATCCCTATGTGGGATCCGAACCCGTGGCCTTGGTGTTATCAGCACCATGCTCTCCCGAGTGAGCCATGGGCCAGGCCCTCAAATAGTACTATTTCAAGGTGATGTAACAAGAACAAACTGAAGTAATGTAATAAGGAGTTGTCTTTATATCAATATGTGGGTATCCTGAGTGGTTTTGGGAAATTATACACTTATGGAGCAAGAAAAGGCTTCATTGTTAGCATTAGTGACATAGAACATGAAGTTATCTTTCACAAAACCTCATTAAATAAAATTTATGACATTTCTGTATTAGGCAAATATAGTTCCTCAGTTTTTATGCCTTCTTGAATGTTATGGCTCTAACACTGAAAGAAAGGAAGCAGATTTAGTCTCATTATAAGACAATTATGATGAAAATTGAAAATAGGGAGTGTAGGCGTTAGAGTTGGAAGTCTATGTCTGGAAGCTTAAGGAAGCTATTCATGCTTTCAAACAGCCACTGAATTCAATCTGAGGGCCTTCTATTATGATGAAAATTGAAAATAGGGAGTGTAGGCGTTAGAGTTGGAAGTCTATGTCCGGAAGCTTAAGGAAGCTATTCATGCTTTCAAACAGCCACTGAATTCAATCTGAGGGCCTTCTAGCATATGAAAATGCTCCTAATACTGTCACTATTCCTCGGTATAGTTTTAATTAGAACACTGGAGAAACTTAATTTGCTTCTTATGCAGTTTCTGCACAAAGCTATCATGTCGTGCAGCAGCTGATGTGAATATGAAACTGTTAATCCAAATTGATTTTTTTAACATATAGCTAGAGAGATGACTTACCTTTCTTTGCCTGTAATAGGAAAACATTGAGTGGAAAATCAAGTCTATTTTCTGGCGTCTTTGAGAGGTGGAGCGGCTGGGGAGGAGATGAAGTAGTGATGAATCTTACCTATTTAATTCTATTAAGGCTGGCAAACAAATACATTAATGTTGATTTCTACTATAAAGCTAGAGGTCACCATCAATAATGAATACATAATGCCACTTACTTTGAAAGAATCTGTCTTTTCTACTATATCTGGCAGGAAGTACTTTTCACCTTTGAATTGTATATACCCTGTGGAGTCTCAATGGGACATTTGTCATTTTACAAAGGGAAGCGGCCGACCTAGGTCCCCTGGTTAGTGACCACAGACATGGCTGCTGTCTTATCTGTGTGGGAATCCAGGTCTAACCCTTGACCTGATCTCGCTGTCACAAGGGCAAGGAAATATAGTGTCACACACTGATCCCCTTCATTGTCTTACCATTCCCCCCCTACCAAGACAACAATGACAACAAAAGCCTAGTGCTGGATTACACAAAAAAGACCTTTGTATAAGCTTTTTAACCTTGTTTTGTTTCTCTGGAAACTATTTGGCAATACGTACATTTTAGTTTTGTAAGCAAATTAAATCGCTTCTTCATTTCTTAATGAAGTTTGCCTTCTCTCCCCACAGTTGATGCAGCAGTTATATAATGAATGTACGCTTGTACACGCTGACCTCAGTGAGTACAACATGCTGTGGCATGCTGGAAAGGTGAGGAGCACATTTTGTTAATGTTCAGATGATATTACTTGATGTAAGTTTTTGAATGTAAATACATCCGTGTGTGCTGTATGTTTAAATAGGTCTGGTTAATTGACGTCAGTCAGTCGGTAGAACCAACCCATCCTCACGGCCTGGAGTTCTTGTTCCGTGACTGTAGGAATGTCTCACAGGTAGGCATCTAAAGTAACATGTCTTTTTTTGCAGAATGTGCAGGTCCAAATATTTTTCTCACTACTAAGATAAGTAAAAGGGCCATATTCTTAGAAACTGAAGGAAGGGATACTGACTACTTTCAGGATAAGGATATAAAGATAAATTTGTAAGATTTCATTTTCAGCAAGAATTTGATTCCATGTCTCAATTTGGGCAAAATGTCTAAGAATAAGTTTTTGTTTTGGTTCCTGATATTTAAGCAGTCAAGTAGACATTTAATGCATGTACAGTTCTTAAACAGAAGCTGGTATATAGTAAGCCTGCATGCGCATTGCCATTATTGTTATCATTAAAAGGATGACAGTCTCCTTAGTGGGACAGTGTCTGATCACTTAACTGTGAGGCTGAGTAAAAAGATTAAGGAAGGTAAAACTCAGTAAGCACAGAGTTGGGTCACGTTTGTTTGCCAGTTCTAAGGGAAATGAGTTGCTAGGAACAGAGTCAGATAGGAATGGTCTTTCTGAAGAATAGAATAACCTCATATTGAAGATAACCTCTGAGCCTGCTTGAAAATTTTAATTCATGGGACTTAGTGAATGCATTGCATCTACATGTTCAAAGCAATGCCAAACAATCTTATATACCACTCGTTTTTATAGCCATAGAATGTGCAGTGTGAAGGGCCGGCCCGGTGGCGCACTGGAGAGTGCGCCACTTGGGAGCGTGGCGGCGCTCCCGCCGAGGGTTCGGATCCCATGTGGAGACCGGTTCCCGCTCACTGGCTGAGCGCGGTGCGGGCGCAACAGCAAGGGTTGCGATCCCGTTGCCGGTCAGTAAAAAAGACAAAAAGGAAAAAAAAAAAAAGAATGTGCAGTGTGAGAAACTAAATCCAGAAGGCAGGATGGATGTGTAGAAGAGGATGAAAAGCAAGTAGAACTTGAGCATAGTTAAATTCAAAGTGGGAAAATCAATGGTTGAAAAATGATGGAAGTGGTTTCTACAAATATGTCCTCTTATTTTTATATAAGAGAACCTTGCTAATGTCTCTTACTGACTTTCGTATATTCCTTCACTAGTTTTTCCAGAAAGGAGGAGTAAAGGAAGCCCTTAGTGAACGAGAACTCTTCAATGCCGTTTCAGGCTTAAACATCTCAGCAGACAATGAAGCTGATTTCTTAGCTGAGGTAGGTTATGTGCGGCTGTTTTTCACCTTGCTGGTAGTGGAGAACTCATAGAGGAGATAACTGAAATCCAGAGCTAATTTTATCCTCTATTCCCCCCAAAACAAAATTAATTTCAGATGTTTCTTTTCATGAGATGTCATTTTTGGTCCTTTCCAGGCTTAAAACTTAGAGTAAACATACAGCAAAACACTTTTTTAAGGAGTTCACAGTTTGGTTAAGATAGACAAATGGGGGCCAGCCCTGTGGTGCACTCGGGAGAGTGCGGCGCTGGGAGCGCAGCGACGCTCCTGCCGCGGGTTCGGATTCTATATAGGACTGGCCGGGGCGCTCACTGGCTGAGCGCGGTGTGGGCAACACCACACCAAGGGTTGCGATTGCCTTACTGGTCACGAAAAAGACAAAAAAAAAAAAATTAGAAGTGAGGAGGAAGGTTTAGACAACACTTGCTGCGTGGCTTAGATTCGATAGTTCCTCCTGCCATATTTCTATATGAAGCAGCTGGAGAATTTTCTGAGAAGTGAGGAGGAAGGTTTAGACAACACTTGCTGCATGGCTTAGATTCGATAGTTCCTCCTGCCATATTTCTATATGAAGCAGCTGGAGAATTTTCTGGAATTCTGATCTCAAATTTCTGAAATGCCTAATAGCAGGTCTTAGTTTTGTTTGCTGACCCATAGCCAGGCTGTGTGGGGTTGTGGAAAGGGCCTTGGATGGAGTCCTGCACCCTAGGTTCTAGGACAGACTTTATCACCAACAGATCTGAGATCCAGTATGATCTTGGACAATTCTGTCAACTTCTCTGGGTCGATGCGATGCATAAGGTCCTTTCAAACCTGATATTCTGACTTTGTATTATGATGTCGACCTGGAGTGGCAGCCTCTTCAAGCGTGCAGACTGAACGCTGCAGACATGGTCCCGTCCAGCTGGTTTCCCCCATGCCTTTCCTCCCTTCCAGATAGCACCACAGCTTTTCCTGATCCGCTACTCAACAACTCACCTCCCCTGCCCGGGTTTAGATGGATGCACATTTGTTTCATGTACAGTGTACAGAGATTTGGAGCAGACAAAGATGAGAAGTAGCTGACCCTTTCTCTTGAGGAGGATAAAATGTACACAAATCATTATCATGAAGACCATAAGAGAAATAAAGAGAGCTTTGGGGTTCAAATGGTAAGGGAGGGGATTGGAAATGGCTTCACAAGAGAGATGGCTTTTGAGATGGGCCTTAAAGAAGGGATAGAATTTTGATAGGAAGGGATGAGAGGGAGATTTTTCTTACTTGTAGGAAAGAATCCCAAGAGAGTAACAGAACAGCAAGCATCCTAAATTTGATGGGACCTCAGGGATGCAGGGGTGAAGAGGCAAATGAAGCTGGGAGGAGCTGATGTGGGTTTTCCAGAGCATCTCAGGGCATGGACGCAGCCTCGGTCAGCAGTGTCAGGGTGTGATTTGTGGGGCTCGCAAAGATGGCATGCGGACCACAAGGAACGTGTGCTTCACTTCTCTGTCCTTACAAATTGAAGTCTGAATCCTTTATTTCATCCCCTTTTTTTTTGGTGGCCGGCTGGCATGGGGATCTGGACCCTGGACCTTGGTGTTATCAGCACCACGCTCTAACCAGCTGAGCTAACTGGCCAGCCTGTCCTCTTATCTCTCTAGAATACAGACTTATTTCTTATCTGTATCTGTTACCTTAAAAAGCTTTAATTCTGTCCTAAATTCACTCAGAAACTGCAGCCTCCCCAAGAAGACAAATGGTTTTTATAGGATTCAGTGCAGAAGAAAATTCAAGGCAGGGTCGTGGGGAGTAGTGGTGTATGTGTCAACATTTTCTTAAATTGTCACATTGTATCAAAACTGACTTTAAAGATCGTTTAGCACAGCAGTAGCTAACCATGTTGAGTCTCAGACCCCTGAAAGCAGCCAAACCCCTTATTTTATAAACCTGAAAAGGTTAAATGATTTGCTTACAGTTGCATGGTCTTTATTAAGCACCTACTGTATGTGAGTTGTCATGTATATAAAGATGAGTAAATGAGTCTCTGTTTTTAAGGAGACTTAGCCTAATATCCTGGCTCTGAGTCCAGTGCTTACGGTACTTTGCTAAATGTCCATCGTGATCCACCATATATAAAAGTCACTTTCAATGCTTCCTATGGCCAGAAGTGAGTACAGGGTCCACCTGGGGCTACTCACAGCGATTTTCTAAGGTACAGCATACAGCCTTCAAGCTGTCTTAATGGCGCACTCACATAGTTAAAAAGAAAGCTGGAGCATGTATCTCCTATATTTGTCTTATTTATAAATCATACACATATATTTCTTTATAACTTCTTCAGGTATGGTATTAACACACTCACTAAAATATACTCTTAAAAGAATGAAAAGCAGAAATAAGATGTCTCCTATTATTTTCTTGCACCCCACTTAAGGAAATCCCAGAAGAGAAACCTGGCTGGTCTTTTAGTGACCACGTGGTGTTTTTGGCGTGTCTTGAGAATAATGCAGCTTCTTCACTCCTGCAGATACCGATCCCTGGTGGCTTCTTATGGAGAGGCCAAGCGGGAGCATTTTCTCAGTGAGCTGGCCCAGCTGGAAGAAAATGTCCACCTGGCACGCCTACACGCTCGCAACAAGCTGGACAATTATGCCATCCAGCAGATGGTAGGAGAATCTCTGGACCTCTTTGAGATGCGTGGACTAGACGGTAGTTTGTCTGCATGGTGCTCACGTGTCCGGCCTTTCAGCTGTGCCCTGATATCCTTGTTTCTTGGCGCAGGTGGAGGACAAGCTGGCCTGGGAAAGGCACTCGTTTGAAGAGCGGATGAGCAGGGCCCCTGAGATTCTGGTGCGGCTGAGGTCTCACACCATCTGGGAGAGGATGTCTGTGAAGCTCTGTTTTACTGTGCAAGGGTTCCCCACGCCTGTGGTGCAATGGTGAGGGGATTACAAAGCCATACTGTGTTTCCTTTAAGGAAGGTCCCAATGAAGGAAATACAGACCACCAAGCCATGCTGTAGACCACTGAACTCGAAACTCTATATGGGAAATGTGTTGATAAAAACTCATGAAATGTCCATTTTAAATAATATGCAGGCTTTTTTATTTTGGTGACATTGATTCAAGTCAACTGATTTTTTAGACGATTTTATTTTAAAGTTGCTTCTCTGAAATAACCTGTGTTTATATGCACTGCTATGTCTGGTTTGCATTTGTATGGTGGCCAACTCTGTATGCCAAGTCTAAGAGTCAGCTTTTAATCAGGGAAAGACTCATAAGTGGAAACCTTGTTTTTTTTTTTTG